TTCCTGGGACAGATCCCGCTATATCCCTCGGGCTATGCGGATCCTTTGAGGCACTACCCCAGCACCTATGGAGCCACTGGAGTCCAGGAGAAAGGTTATACCTCTTCTCCTTACTACCAGCAAAGCAACGGAGCCTACAGCCGCAGCTCTGCCTGTGACTATGGGGCCGGAGGTTTTTTCAGGGAGAAAGACCCATCGTGTGCCCCCCCAAGCCTGGATGAGGTGCCCTTCGCCCCCGAGCCTCGCAAATCGGACTGCGCTCAGAGCAAAAGTGTGTTCGGAGAAAGCGAAGAACAAAAATGTTCCACCCCGGTTTACCCCTGGATGCAGCGGATGAACTCTTGCAATAGTGAGTTTACTCTTTTACCAGAAATAAATACATCAATCTCCTCCCCCCCTTTTCTTATTTGTTAACCGCCAGAGAGAGAGAGAGAGAGAGAGAGAGAGAGCGAGAGAGAGAGAGGGAAACAGGAATAAGATTCACTTTTAGAGCCCAAACTTCCAGCGGGGAACTTAGGCGACATGAGAGGTTCCAACTTGCTCCTGCCACGCATCAAAACTTCCCACAGCTGAAGGATTTCCTTCCCCCCCTCCCCGCGATTTAAAAACTTTAAACCCCAATATAGGATTTCTTCCCCCCTCCCTTTTTTTTTTTTTTTTTCCCCTACATTCCAGTTTGCGTGTCACTCAGCTACAACGATTTGTCTCTGTCTTTCCCCCACACGCACAGGGAGATATCTTTTCTAAATCAGATCTGGATGACTTTACACACACACCCGAACTCACACCCCCACGCAGCTCCCTCTCTCGTTGGCTCCTCGATCTGGAGTTAAATAATAGGAAAGTGTTTAAATATTTGAAGGGAGAGGGTTACATTTTTAATGTAATTCGCACATAATGAAAAGTCTGCCTGGGGAGGATTTTTTTTTTTTTTCCCCCTGGTGATATATGACTTCTTTAAGTGCTGTTTCCTCAATCAAATTGGGAAAAAAAAGCAGAAAAAAAAAAAAACCCGGAGGGAGGGGGAAGAAAAATAATAGAAGCTCACTACCCTCCTTCCCATGTTTAGATGCATTTGTTGCCTTTTAAGTTCCAAATTGATGTCCATTAGCGCAGGGACATAAAGTGTTGTGTCCTCTTTAATGCGGAGTTTGGGCAGATCGATTCACTTCATTATTGCTTAAATGCTCAGATCTATTACAGTTGCCGGTAGGGTGGAAAATAGCGAGGGCGGGCGAGGAGGGAGGGAGGGTTGGGGGGGATGTGTGAAAACACCTTGCGATTTTTCATCCCGGAATAAGATAGATTTTCCCCTGTCTCCCCAGCTCTGCCTGGCAAGAGCAGCATTAACCCCTTTACCCGGCTGAGTGCAGCGCGGCCGCGGATCTTCCGCTGGTTCTGCCAGGCCGGGAAACCTCCCTGGCAGCACAGAGTGGGTTAGTCACCACCTTAAGGCTTCAATTTGAGTTGCCCCAAACCTGTTTTAGGGCATGGAGTGGGCACAAACCCCTCCGCACACAGCCGCGGGATGAGGTTTAGCATCCCCTCGGATTATGCAGCATCGAGGCTCTTTTCCCTTTGCTCTCTCATTTATTCCCCTCCTTTTCCCCCTAGATTTTCCCTTATTTTTTTCCCCTATTTGGTTCCTATTTGTCTCCTATTTGTTTCCTTTTATTTTTATTTTTTTTTTTTTTTGCGGGTGGCACAGGTTCTTCCTTCGGGCCCAGTGGCCGTCGAGGCCGTCAAACCTACACCCGCTACCAAACGCTGGAGCTGGAAAAAGAATTTCACTTCAATCGCTACTTAACCCGGCGTCGACGGATCGAGATTGCTCATTCCCTTTGCCTGACGGAGCGGCAGATCAAAATTTGGTTCCAGAATCGCAGGATGAAGTGGAAAAAAGAGAATAAATTGCTCAACTCCTCGCAACTCAGCGCGGAGGAGGAAGAGGAGAAAACGGCGGAGTGAAAAGTATTATTTAAAACACACACAACGAGAAAGAAAAAAAAAACCCACAAAAATAGGGAGTGAGTGAGTGTGTGAGAGTAGAGAGGATGAGGGAGGTGTGGGCTGGATGAGAGGATAGGGAAAACTTGCACGTTGGTGGGACAAACCAACAACTAGAAAGTTTGGGCCACCAATGCCATGGACTCGTATTCCCAGTGATCTGTCGTGTCCAGCAAAAAGAAAAAAAAATCAGGCTTCTAGTTGCGTTTTTTTCATATTTTTTCCCTTCCTAGACCTCTCTTCCCTTCCACTCCACCCCTCGAAAGGAAATAATAATAATAATAATAATGAAAAAGTGAAGTCTGAAAATGTTAATAGGCTAATTATCACTGAGTTAATTTACAAGTCATATTCCCTCTTGCCCCCACATAAAAAAAAAAAAAAAAAAAAAAAAAAAGGACTCCTAGCCGTGTTTCTACCCTTGGTGTCACTGTTAGTATTCTGCTAACTCTTGTATTTAATGGAAGTGCTGCAATATATGTCATTTGGGGTGTTTATTGTCTTAATTTTGTAAAAATGTTTCATGCACGGTTGACATAGGTTGGGGTTTTTTTTTCCATTTTCCCCTTTTATTTTTCTCCTTTGGTAAATTAATCAAGCCCTGGGGTCTTTGTAATTAGTTTTGGGGGGTTTCATTTGCCCTTTTTTTTTTTTTAAAAAAAAGGAAAATCTACTGAAAGAACGAGTACTACCTAAAAGGATGCAAAAGCAACAACAACAGAAAGTTCTATTTTATTAATTTTTGTACGTGTTGTGTTTGAAGTTTGTCTTAGGTATGAACATGGAATTCTCTAATAAAAGCGAAGTCTTCGATCTCACGCACCCCACCCTGTCATTCTTCTTGCTCTCCTTAGCTTTATCTTTCCCTTTTTCCAGGGGAAACTTGCCATTCTTAAGGAGCAGAGGGTTGTAAAGAAAGCTTAGCTTCCCTCTGTATGACAATGTCTCCTAATCTGCAAGGACAAGCAACTCCAAGCACACGGAAGTTACAGTGGAGAGATAAATCTGGTTTTCCCTCTTTTTGTCTAATCTTAAATGGAAGACCTTTCACCAATAGTATTTCCTCGCTGACATTCTGCTTTAGGATGGCTTTTTTTTTTATTGTTACAGTACAAAGAGTTATGACGAAACGCTCTCCGTATACATAATAAATCAAGGAAACAGGCAAAAATATGCTCTCATTTATCTACCAAAGATACCTAACATTTGCCTAGCATCTTTCAAACATCTGGTCCCTTACTTCATAGCCCCAAATCAAAGTGAAATGTATGGCAAAAAAAAAAAAAAAAAGTCCAGATTTCCAGGGAATTTGCCCTGCGAAACGAGGAGTTTCTCAGCTCCAGGAATATCGCGTCTATTTATGGTTGGGGAAAAAAAAAAAAAAAAAAAGGTGGAAAAAAAAAATCCAAACTAAGACTAACGAGCTCTTTTAAAAGAGCAGATTTTTATTTTCACTTGAAAGCGTTTCCAATGGCTCCTTGGGAGAGGTTGACTTTGCTGGGGATGGGATGGGGAACGTTTCTGCTCCGTACCAAGGAATCTCGTGCATGCAAACAGCAAACTTTTCCTGGCTTTGGGCAATTAAACGAAAGGAAATGCTTTTTCTGCTGGGGATTTAGGATTGGAAACAAGCGACCAGCCCAACAGTGTTCGGATATTGGTTTTTTTTTTGCAGCTTCTCGTGGGGAAAACGAGCTGAAACAGTATCTCCTGCCTCTCATCCCTTTTCTCACTCCCCACCAGAAATACCTACGTATGAATGCATTCCCCCATGCCACAAGCTGGTTTAATGTCAGTCACTTTTAAAATCAATTCATGCAGAAGCTTCACAGCTGTAGGACATTTACTATTATTGCCACGCTTTTCATTGCCCGTAATTATTATAATTATATGTCACTTTCAATATGGCGCATAATTTCCAATGAGTTGCAGACAAGCATATGAAATTCCTGAACTGCCTTGGAAAGAAAAAAAAAAAAAAAGAAAAAAAAGAAAAAGGAGAGAGAGAGAGAGAAAAGAGAAGAAGGAAAGAAAGAAAGAAAGAAAAAAAAGAAAGTAATGCTTAACAAAGCACAGCTCTTTCCCAACGTTTTTACCCATTTCAGAGTGCTTTTGCTCCCCAATATTCCTTGCAGGTTAACAAATGGAAAGGAAAAAAAAACCCACGTAGCACAACGCTGTGTTCAAAGAGGACTTGAAACGCTCCGAATATCCTAAAAGCAACGTTGCCAACCAATTCCACCAGCCGGACTTTCCCTCCTTTTCCTTTCTCCCACCCCTATTTCCCTTTTTTTTTTTTATTTTTCATTTTTTCTTCCCCCTCCATCCAGAATTAAGCCACGACCGCATCTCTGTCTCTACTCTCAACATACAACCAAGCTGGACTTTTGAAAAAAACCACCACCCTAAAGAACAACCCCTCCAACATCATCTCCTCACCCCCTACCACCAAGAGAACCTCTCAACTCCTCATCACCTTTCAACCACCCAAACTTCTCCTCCCGTTTGACAAAGGATGAAATTCTCCAAGAGTTGGATGAAGGAAACAACGCGGGGAGAAGATGAGATGAGGAAAGAGATAGATCTGCTGGAGATGGTGGATAGGGAGGGAGGAGAAGGAGAAGAGAGGAGTGTGAGGAGGAGGATTTGGGGGCTCGGGGGTCCCCCCGGGCTCGGTGAACCGTCCCAGCTTTGCCGGCAGATGTCGCGCTGAGCCAAGGTGGGGGGCGCTGGCAGCTCTGGGATTTGGGGCGTCGCGAACTGAGTTGGGGCCTAAACGACTCTGAGCTCGTCATTATTTGTAACCATAGAGCATGAATTACCTCTTGAGGTCATCAGTGAGAATTTACGACTGGTCAACAAAAGCACGTGATGCCCAAACGCACCCCCCAAGCACCACCACCCTCCTCCTCCTCCTCCTCCTCCTCCTCCTTGTTTTTCCGCCCCTTTTTTATATTTGGCCGCGTACATAGCAAAAACGAAGTACAGTGCGTTGCTATAATTCATTAATACATCATAAATCGTCAAGCACGGGGTTATAACGACCACGAGCCACAAATCAAGCCCTCCAAAATAACCCAAATGAGCTCTTACTTTGTAAACTCGTTCTCAGGGCGCTACCCAAATGGCCCCGACTATCAGTTACTAAATTATGGGACCAGCAGTTCCATGAACGGTTCTTACAGAGATTCAAGCACCATGCATTCCAGCTCTTATGGCTACAACTACAATGGGATGGACCTTAGCATCAACCGCTCAGCCTCCTCTAGTCACTTTGGGGCTGTGGGGGAGAGCTCCCGCGGTTTCCCTTCTCCAGCTCAGGAGAGCAGGTTTAGACAGACGTCTAGCTGCTCCTTATCTTCTCCCGACTCCCTTCCCTGCTCCAACAGCGAGAGCCATGGAGGCAAACCCACCCCGTCCCCCTCCGACCAAGCTACTTCTGCCAGCACCACCAACACAAATTTCACAGAACTAGACGAGACCAGCGCGTCCTCGGGAGCCGACGAGGGCACTCCAATAAGCAGCAGCATCCCCCGAGCGCAGGCAGAGCCCATCGCA